AAGGTAGCGTAGGTTGGCGTGATCTGTGCGTACGGTGAAATGATGGAGCGCTACGTAGTCGTACCACTTCTCTACAGCCCACTTGACGGCGAAGAGCTCTCTCTCTCGTATCCCACTTTCTCTCCGCGTCGGTGAACTTCTTAGACGCGAACTCTAACGGGACTTCTCTTCCCTCTTGCACCTGCTTCAACACCGCGCCGATGCCAACCTCCGAGGCATCTGTTTCGATGATGACCGGCGCTCCTGGAACTGGCTTGTGGAGCAACGATGCACCAGCTACCGCCTGCTTCAGCTTCACGAATGCCTCTCCTCGAGAATCCGACCAGACGAACAACCTGCCCTTCTTGAGCAACTCGAACAGTGGGGCAGTGTACTCGGCGAATCGCTGGATGAAGGGTCGTAGATACCCAACGGCGCCTAGGAAGCTCTGCAGTTCCTTCCTTGAGGCGGGGGCGGGGGCATTGAGAACCTGTCCTGGCACGCTATCCCTTGCCGCCGAATCTTATGACCGAGGTACTTTACTTCGGCGTTGAGCCACCCGCCCTTATCTAGCCTGAGGCGGAAGCCTCTCTCCCTGCACAGTCGCAAGACCTTCTCCAACCGCTGCATCATCTCCGGCACCGTGTCCGTCACGATGATGATCTCGGTCCTCAGCTCAGGCTCGAGATGTCTCAACCTCGCTTTGCACGGCTTGCCGCTTGCCTCGAAACGCGCCTCGTACTTGACGCACGCCACCTTTGGGTTCTCCCGTACGTCTCTGTATGCGACCAACAGATTCCACAGCCCGTCCCTCAGGCTCTGGTCCAGGTGTCCCGTACCCTCCACGAATACCTGCCGCTGCCTCTCGAAGGGATCCTCCAACAACTCCTCTACTACTGGTGGCTGCTCTTCGTACTTCTCCGCAAGCAAGGCGTATCTCATCAACTGCGCCTCTTTGGGCCGCCAGTACTAACGCCTTCCCGGACCCTCTCTCAACCAAACCAAACCAAACCAAACCGTTCCAATTCTCCCCCCC